TTGCTTGAGTCCTACCGAGTCTCAAGGCAGTCTTTTCTCAAAACTAAAGAAAATGCATTTATTTGATATACTCATGTCAATGCTATTCCTGTGGATACTATTTGGAGCATCTGGGTTTTTTTAAAAATTCAAATTAATCGCTTTTCTTGCTTTTCATTTCATATTTAGCGCTAATATTTAATGTGAGATGGAATGGAATTTACAGCTTCACTGTGTGAAAGATTGCATTAGAATAAATTTTAATAATAGTTTGAACATAATTAAACAAATTTTTTCAAAGAGATTACATTTTTTGATAATCTTTATTGTCATTGCTATGTAAAAGATTTAAATCTGTTTCCATCTCTTTTTCATAAATTGATGCATATGCAAAAATAGATGATATTTCAGATGCTTAAAAGGAAAAATATTTCCTCCTCTACTTTGTTAAAAGCAGATAATAGGTTAGACTGTAGGTTTAAATTATTTTCTTTCTAAAGTATTCAGAAATTGATAACTTTTAATGTACCATGCAAATCTTGAAATTGGTGTGTGAATGTGGTGGATCTTCCCATGATTTCATCTGGGAGAGAAGTTGTTTGCTTTTGTATTGGGGAATTTCTTCAGCAATGCAGGAGCAAAACCAGTTTTATTTTTACTGATTTGAATTTCTCTGAAGATCTTTTTACCAGAACACGTGAAGAGACTTGTCTAAGTCCCAGCCACTTGAGTAACTCTACATATTTGAGAAGCACAGCAATTTACCCTGTAACTGGAAAAACTATCTCAGGGAGCCATGGAAAGTTGGAAACTTTGGGCTATGCCGGTTTTAATATCTGCAGGCTGTCTGAGGTACTGAGTGCTTCTGGATGCATATGCCAAGTATCAGCCTTTGACATGATTGTGGCAGCTTGGCTTTGTTAGCAGGTTAAAATTCACCATGTAGAATGAATTTAAACATTCTGAAGTCTTAACATGAGGACTGGTTTTACTGTTTTCTTTATTTTCCATATTTTACTGAAGTTGTAAACTGGTGTAATATTGTCTGTGGCTGTAGGCAGCAGCAATAAAAACTGACCTAGAAGTTGGTTTTGTACTGACACATCTAAGAGGAGAGTTGCAGGTGGAAGAGAGGTTTGGCACAATGTTTAGAGCTCATCTGTAGCCTTGGCTTTAGACTTGCCATTCTATTTTTTGAAGCTCTCTGGAGGATCTACCTGGACTATCTCCAGGTGGAACAAGTAGAACCTCTTTGAAGAGAAGGTGAATGAGCATCAACTGACAAATTGGTGTCATCACAAGTAGTACTGGCAGAAAGATCTTGCAGATTTACATCCTGCAGTGTTACATCTTGAAACCTGAGGAAACAATTGGGCTGGCTGGCAAAGGATCCATGTTTGTGAGTGTGATTCTTAAAAAAGCCCAGTTTATGTTATACCATATTCAAACTGCCTTTGGAAAATTAACTATGATCTGAAGGGCACCTTGGTATGCATCTGTTTTAGGATTCTACTGGAAAAACATTTCAGGGATTACAATTGTCCAGGCATATGGAATAGTAATTGCATGCAAATACATTTTATGCTTTTTAGCTTGGCTCTGTCAGCTGCAAGGGCTGGCTGTGCCTGTTTAGTCAAGGGATGTATTATAAAAACAGACAAACTATTAAATGAAAAACTGGGGATGAAAACAAGAGGCTGAAATACAAAATATACTTTTTAATAGTGACTATGGAAATTCTGTACCTAAACAACCGTGGATTTTTTAGTGGTGATCATACTGATTTAGTATTTATTCATGGGCTATATGGATTTTTGTTACTTGCTGACTTCTTTTCTCTGTGCAAATCTCTGAAGATACTGTGAACTGCATGAGGAGTGGCTAAACAAGGAGTTTGTAATTGTGTATGTGTATTTGCAGTACACTTAGGTTCAGCTCTTAGTTATGAGACCCAAGGTGTTTTGGTTTTTTCTTTCGTCTTGGTTTAGGTTTTTTTTTTTTTTTTTTTTTTTTTTTTTTTTCTTTTTTTTTTTTTTTTTTTTTTTTTTTTTTTTTTTTGTGAGCTTCAATAGTTCATTGAAGGGTAAGCCTTGAAATTTTGCTAGCTTTAATTCTGTTGTAGCCATGCTGTTCACTTTGTCAAAATATTTCTCAGATCACTTGGCTAACCATTGCTGCCACCTTCGTGAGGACCAGAGAAACCACAGAAACATCACAACCAACACAAATTAATCAGTTTTATTTGCTTATCTCTTTTTATCTGATAATTAAAATTGACTCTTTGGTTCAACAGAAAATCTATGCACAAATGACATTGATTTGTTTTGATAGGCTTATTGGAAGACAAATGAGCTTTTGAATTCCTAGTAACTAAGGAGTGAGAATGATGATAAAATGCTTTGAAGTACTTCATAAATCTAAGTTTTGAGAAAGTCTATGGCTGAAGTTCAACATCTATTAATCTTTTTAAATTTTTCATCTAATCTAAACTGTTTTAATTATTTTCACTTCCACTCTGTCTGAAAGGGTATGGGTGGTTCCTAAAGCACAAGGTTTTCTTCAGTGCGTGACAGGGACAGCACTAAGCAGGACTTAATAATTAATTAAACACATCTGTTTCCAGTCAAACAGCTCAAATCAGTTTGCATCAAATAGAATAGATCACAAAGAATTTTTTATTATTGTACTTGTTAAGTGAATGGATGCATTCAATAATGGGGAAAGTGCCCTTTGTGATTGAAGGAGTTATTTTTTTCTTCCTTGTTACTAGGCTTGCAGGTAATAACCTTAACGTTTTAGGTGTGACAAGAACAATTGAATTACTAACACAAAATAGGCTTATTTTGAATTTGGATTTATTTTGAAAGCATGAGTAAAGAGCTTATCTTTCAATAGGAAATCTACAGTTCTTTGAAACTCAGATCTAGTCCAAAAAACTAGAATATGAAAAAACTGTTGCAAGCAATTTTTGAGCCGTGCTTTGTTCACATGTCAACACATTTTATCTTCAGTACTCTTAAAGGGAAAGAAAATTTCTATGAATATCTCTGGCACTTGGCAGTGGAGCAAGCTTAAAATGTAACTGACAAACCATAGAACAGAACTAGCTCCTTCCTGAAAATTGTTCTTTTCTGTCACTTAAATGTTATTTTGGGGAGAAGAAATGTAGAAATTGTTCTTTGAGAACTTAGGTATTGTTTTGACTTGCAGGGGAAAGAGCCTTTAAGGAGATAAGGCCTTCTGAACATAAAACCCCATACTTCCTTGATATGACAAGTATATATGTAAACTTGCCATTTAGTTGAGTGTTAAAATGAAGAAGAGTCAGAGCTTGACCCTGATGTCTAATGTATCACCTTATATGTATGAGCTGTGCCCCCAAGCAAAGTAAATAACACTCTGAACTGTGACCAAACCATGAGATAAATTATTAGACCATATATTTTGGACTGTCCTCTACGGCCTCTAAGCCTTCTGTATCAGGACAAAATCTGACATTCATCATTGACTGTCTCTAAAATTAACTTTCCTAATAATCTTTCCTCTATTTTCTGTCCAAAAATGTTACAGAGTCTGGGGTATACAAAAATTTGAACCGAAGAAAGAATTCCAGCTGAGGTCAATAATAGTATTGTTTTATATAAGGAGGTTTTAGGATTTGGTGTCCCTGACACCAGACCTTTGGATTAGTGAAAAGATAAAATTCTTAGTGCAGACGCAATACTTTTTTTCCATTAATGATATTTAAGGTTTATGTAATTATTGAGGTATTTATAACAAATATTTAATAATAAATAACTGTGCTGCTTTACTGAGAAATGTAACATGAAGCATTGCTTATGCAGAGAAGAGAAGGAATATTGTACAGGAAAGAATGGAGTAGGTTTTAGGACTGGAGCACTTGGGTGAAATTTACATTTAAAGATGAGGAAATGTCTTCTTCCAGTGATGTGTTTTCCCTTTGATATGAAGACAAGTGAAGGGAGCTGCCTGATGGTCTTGATTGATGCCAGAGAGCCAGTGTGATTTAGCTCTCATTAAGGCAAGCATTTCTTCAGTATTATCTTGGAAGCTGTTTCCAGGACAAGCAAAAGTGCTGATGCTTTTGCAAAAGGCAGTGCTAAACTTTGGAGTCCCAGGTGCAAAAATAAACATGTGTCTGGAGGGATGGGCTTGTCCTCCCCAAGGAAACAGGGCAAGTACAGCTGATTTTTCCAGGAGATGAATCTTGAAGAGTTTGTAGATGTATAGCTACAGATCTATAAATGCATTATGAATGTAAAATTCAACAGAGAAAAGGGAAGACCTTTAACTTGAAAGTCAGTGATGACATAAGGAACTACAAAATAGCTGTAGGAAAACTCAAGAAAGAAATTAAAGGCAGTGAGGCTCGGAGAGCATTTTTCCTACATCACTGGCTTAGTCTTGTCCATGCTACTACAAATGCTGTTTTAAAAACAGGCACAGTTTTGCCCTTGCATTTTAACTCCTGTTAGAAAGCTTTCAGCACCCAAATTAATTGGACTCTGAAACTGCTGTCCACAAAATGAAGTGTAGGTAAAAGGCCCAGCTCTTACACAAAGGAAGTTGTGTCCACAAATAGGATTGTGTGATGTGGTTAGCTCTGACCACACAGAGCTGCTTTGTAACCTGCTGATCTCTACGAGTGCTGTGCCCTTTCCTGTTTCTGTTACTCCCTTAAATTCCAATATATCTGATGTTTTCTTTGAACTGAAGGTTACTCTTTTAAGTCTGTTTTTGAAAATTCCTGATAGTGAATGGTGGTCACGTTCCTTTTTTGTTTATCTCTTTGCTCGAATGTGGCAACAGTGAATTAGCATAAATGGTGCGAGGAAAGTAGTTAATATAATTTGTATTCTTCTTTAATCCTTTGAATTTACCTCCTTGAAGATACATCAAAGATGAGTTTGGTTCATAAATATGTTCAGAAGATGAATACAGTAGGGGGAAAGAATCCTGTTTTATGGTATTTTTAAGACCAGAAATAAATCCTTTATAATCAGTAATTGACCTATATGATGTTTTTTTTCCAGTTTGTTTCAGATCCTTGTGCCAGCAACCCCTGTCTCCATGGTAACTGCAGCAGCAGCGGGGATGGCTACCTGTGTGTGTGCAGCGCGGGCTTTGAGGGAGCGCACTGCGAGCGCTCAGCCCGCGGCCCTGCGGCCTCGGCCGGGACAGAGGCCAGCCCGCCCCGGCACAGCAGCCCAGCCTCGTCCACCCTGGAGCCCGACATTGCCCTGCCCCGCTCCAGAGCCACCGTCACCTTACCCACGTGGCAGCCAAGGGCTGGACAGAGAGTTGTGGATCTCAAATGGGATGAAATCGAGGTGAGACTATTCGGTCGCAGTGAAAATTCACTGACAAGAAACCTTTCAAGTGTTATTTTCAGGTGGTTTCATGATGTCCTCATGAGAAAGCTGAAGATGTGATCTCTGCCCCGAGTTAATATGCTGATAAAATTGAAACAAAAACCCATTTGATCCATGTTATGAGTAATGGACTTAAGTTGGCTGGTGTGTTGTATTAGATTCTTCTTTGAAATGGGGTAATATTGATTCTTCCCGTCAATTGTGTGACAACATATCTCCAAACATCAAATAAATTCAGGAAATGCTAAAAATTAAAGCAATTCCTTTAATATATTTTTTGGTATTTGCCATTATTATCACATTTTGCTGCATGTTTCTGCATTATTGAGACAACACAGTTTCTTGAGGATTGGAAGTGGTAGCTAATACATTACGCAGGGCACAACTCTAGGGATGCAATGACAGTGGTGGAAACTTTTAAATGTTTAAATTGTAAACATTTGTTGTAACTCCTACAAACAAATCTCTGTCAAAATGTAACAATATCTGGTGAAACTACAGCTGGAAAGCACACAACGTATGATCCTTAATAAATGTGATCTTTGCTTTCCACTGTGTTGCACTCTGTGCTGTTTGTAATGCTTAAACATTTTGCATAGACTGAAGTATCTGCAAAAATTAAAAAAACAATCAACCTTAACCAAGTTATTGTTAAAGGAATTATCAGCTTAGTACCAAGTGCTAGGAATAGTGAAACTTGTTGCTGAAAAAATACTTTAATTTCTGTAGGCACATTTTTATGACATCTTTTTCTTTTTGAGAAAGACCTTAATATAATTTTGTTTCAGGTTATTCAGGAATAAATAGGTAAAATGTCAGTTGTGTCTTTTTTTTGAAATGTTTCAATGAGTTTGATTTTCCTGAGGTGTTTTAACATACTGCATAATGAGAAAGTAAGCAGGCAGGAGTTTAATCATGGAACAAGTGTATTTTTCATCACTCTTTTCTAGCCCAAACATATTTGTTGAAGTTTCCACTGTAAAATTTATTTAATCAATTTTATGAAAGTAGAATCAGACCATGTAAAATATATGTTTGGTGTGTTGCAACTCTGATATTAGCTGAAGTATTTATAGGGCTGTATTCCATTTCAGTGGGAGTGCTGGTGGGCAATGTCTGGAGCATAAAGCTTTATTTCCTGGAATTCCATCTCCCATATCTGTTATTTTACAGTAGAACATATGTCAGGCACCAAGGATGGAGTTTGGAGAGATCACTGAAGCAGAAACAAACAATGATCTGCTCTTATTACTTAGTTTAAATGCAGTCTCATCTCTGCATGGGTGGTCCATATGTCCTGATCAATTAAGGGCATGCTCTTCCCTGTTCCAGATTTCCCTGGTATGTCTTCCTCAATCTGTGATCTGGTGTTGTATAAGGAACATTTCTGCCTGGTTTGCATTTTAGGTAGATTCAGTAAGAATTTCAGTCAGGCAGATAATTCTCAAGTGACTATTCCAATAGCTGAAATTCACCCTTCTGCATGTCTTCTGTTACCTAAGAAATACAGATAGGTCATCAGTTGCTATTGCATGACTAACGCTACCATGGCAATTACTTGCTATCCTATTACCAAATTGCTTGTGTTGATGTGTTTTAATATACTGTGATGGGTCTTGTATTTTTGACAAGCTCTCCAGTGTGGCATAATGACCTTCTACCTTGTTCTTTGGAAGTCACAGTGAGAGAGATGATTATCTGGAACAAAGAGATTTCACTTGCTGATTCGAGACATTGTATCTGATCTCTATTAACTGAGGAGAGTTGACTTGCCTGAAGGTCTGTGCTCCAAAGCCTCTTTAGTGGAGGTTTCAAAAGTCAAATGTGTTAATAATAAAAACACTACCTTTCTCATAGCTGTAAGAACTTTGCAAAACTTGATCATTCACTCTCTTGAAAGGAAGAGTAGCTGTAGGTTTTGTATTGCAAAAATGTTCTCTTGTGATCTTTGAGTTTCAGAGAATAACAAGTACTGATATTTGGTTGTTGTTTTTTTTTTTTTTTTTTTTTATAAATCTTCCCGGGCAGTCTGTTTTCCAAATTATTCTATACTGGTACTGGAAGTGAATTAATGTTCTTCAGACCGTATGGTCTCAGAGAGAAATTTTGCCAGACTCTTTCCAAATGGAAGGTCTCACTATCTTCAAGGATGAAGTTTCCATGAAAGCTTTTCTGGGAAGTTTTGGGAACTCAAAGAAGGAACACCTGAGAGAAGTAAGCTGTCTAGGAGAGGCATGATGTGTGCTTACAGTTGGACATGTTTTCTGTATTCCCTGGATAGCAGGGATACATTTAGCACTGCTTGCTGGAATCAGCTGTCTCAGTAGTGTCTGTACCAGCAGGTAACACACAGATGTCTTTGGACGCAGTTTAATTTCTGAGTGGTCTTCATACAAGAAATTAATCTTTTCACGATGTCCAGATTAAGGACTAAAACCATAGATCATAAGCAAGTTCTTTTTGTCTCAGTTGATTTTCTTTAGTATAATATGAATTTGTCTTTGTGCTTACCCATTGACAGATAATTCTTTTTCCTACTTGGGGCAACTGGTTCCCCTTGTAGAGAGACCCAACTAACAATCCCCATTTCCCCAGTTCAATCATCTTTTGTGTTGCAGTGTATAGGAGATATTTATTAGCCAGTAATGGAGGGAAAAGGAAACCATCTCATTAATCCTACTCAATTAATGGATTTAATAAATGTTTCAATGTACAAAATCAACGGTAAGAATAGCAGTACCATACTCTTATATACAGCTTTTCATAATAGACCTAAAATTCTTTTCAAAGGAAATCAGCTGTATTATTCCCATTTTACAGACTGAGATGCTGAAGCACAGAGCAGTGGTGTGATTTGCCAGGTGTGCAGCCAGAAATTAGAATGCTGAGCATGTGAGTCCTAGTCTAACCTTCTATTTATACTGCAATTTTGTGCTCAGATTCAAGGCTTTGGAACTAATGATTAGAGGCTACAATAAACTTCTCATTCCCCTTGCAGTGGGGACAGCATTTGTTTTATGTGTGTCCTTAGTCAGTAAATTGCAAGCCTTTAGGAGAGTGGCTGAATCAGGTGTAAAATCCTGAGTGTTCCTGCTCTGTAGCAATGGCAGAATTATTCCTTAAGTATATTCTTGAAACAGGAACCTTTTAGTCTTGACTAACTTTATGTGTTGCTAAATGTTTTTGCATTTTTTTGGTTAAAGTATGATATGAGTGCAGAAGGAGGAACAGAATCTGAACAAATCCATTTGAGATTGATAAATACAGAATAGAAACTTGATCCTTAAAAATGATGTCTTAGGAAAACCTTTCACATGGAAATGGGTGCAGGTTGGAGTATAAATGTTTGTCCTCTGCTTACCCTGTTTTCTTGACATTCACTCTTATTATTGCTGTTAAGAGCTGGAATGTGTATAATTTTGATTTGACTTACAACTGCTTTTTAAACCGTGTATAAGATTTGGTTTTGAAATCTCAATAATTTTTCTTTTGTTCTGAGAAAAATAAATTCTACAAACACCGGAGAATGGAGGAAGCACAGATTTTGGTAGAATAATATTTTCTTTCTTCTAGGATAAATCTGTAATTTCAATAACTCTTTCTCCTACAATATTGATTTCTGGAACTTTTTGTTTATATAGAAACATAATTTTCATAGACAACTTGATGTAAATATCTCTGGATAGCTGCTACTTTTTATTGTATTTATTTTTAAATAAAACTCTAAATGTCTCTAAAAGCTCAATATGCTTAAACAAAACTTATATGAATTTCATAGAAACGTCAGTTTATTATATTCCATTACTAAATCATGTTCAATAGATAGTCATAAATACTAGGTTTCCTAAAATTTAAGCTCTTTGAGACAGAAGTTATGTCAAGATATTGAAGGTCTTCTCTTCTGAAGCTGTATTGGTGGGTGGGCTCAGGATTTTTGGTTATCCAGAGCTGTTTTTGAAAAGTATCTAGATTCATTTAACTGTTCCTTCAGAAATCATCCTGTTTTGAAGTCCTAGAGAGTATGAGGGAGAAAGAAGGGAAAAAAAACCTCAATCCTGATGTGTTCACTGCCTTTCAGTGTTTTGGTGTAGAAATATCTATAGCTGACTTGACAGTCTTAGGTTGAAATTTATGTCCCTGCTTATCCTCCAGTGACCTGAGCTCATACACTGCATGCAAAGATTTGACTATGTGCAATTTTTGCTCAATGAACTTGTTTACACAGTGTTTATCTTTCTTTTCAGAACAGCTCCATAGACTCTGGAATAATAAATGGCTATTAATTCTTGATGGAAGTAATCTTTGTTGAATGACTGTGCTGTGATCTAAGTAGAGGATAGGCAGCTAAGCCTCACACAGCCACTTACTCACTGCCCCATCCAGTGAGATGGAAGAGAAAATTGGAAGGGTAAAAGTGGGAAAACTCATGGGAAGATGAAGACATTTCAATAATTTTAAAAAGGAGAAATAGAAAACAAGAAAGAAAAAACCTTAACAAAACAAGTAATGCAAAAAGCCCTAATTACTCACCACCAAGTAACTGATGCCCAGCCAGTCTCTGAGCAGCAGCAGCTCTGGCCAAGTTCCAGCCCCAGTTTCATGGCTGAGCATGGCTTCCTGTGGTGGGGATGTCCCTTTGGTCAGCTGGGATCTGCTGTCGCACTGTGTTCCCTCAGCATCCCCAGCCTGCCCCTGGTAGGGCACTCTGAGAAAGAGAAAAGGTTTTGATGCTGTGTGAACACTTCAGTGATAACTAAAATATCCGTTACCGACCCTGTGTTCATCACAAGTCCAAAACACGCAAGCATAGCAACATAGCACTGTGCAAGCCATTGTGAACAAAATTAACTACATCCCAGCCAAAACCAGTACAGACTGAAGGTCAGATTTCATGAAGCTGACACTGAATTTGGTGGATGGCTTGAAACAAGAAGGCAGCTTGCTGAAATGATAATCTA